GATGCTGATGATGCTGCTGATGCTGCTGTTGCTGATGATGATGATGCGGATGGTGTTGCGGCTGCTGCTGCTGCTGATGATGATGATGATGATAATGTTGCTGATGATGATGCTGTTGATGATGATGAGGATGATGCTGTTGATGGTGATGATGCTGCTGATGATGGTTATGTTGCTGCTGCTGCGGATCATGATGCTGCTGAGGTTGCTGTTGCTGCTGATGATGGTGTTGCTGATGATGATGGTACTATTGGTGATGATGGTGATGCTGATGCTGATGATGATGATGCTGATGATGATGATGCTGATGATGATGATGATGATGATGATGATGCTGAAGATGCTGTTGCTGCTGATGTTGCTGATGATGATGTTGATGCTGATGATGAAGACGATGCTGATGGTGATGACGCAGATGCTGATGCTGATGACGATGATACCGATGACGATGTTGATGACGATGCTGATGCTGATGCTGGTGATGAAGCGGATGATGCTGATGCTGCTGTTGATGCCGATGCTGATGATGCTGATGATGCTGATAGCGATGTTGCTGCTGCTGATGCTGATGAGGAGGCTGATGTTGCTGATGATGATGATGCTGCAACTGATGATGACGATGGCGATGCTGATGGTGATGGTGGTGATGATGCTGCTGCTGCTGATGATGATGATGATGATGACGATGATGATGATGATGACGATGATGATGCTGATGCTGCTGATGATGATGCTGGTGATGCTGCTGGTGCTGATGATGCTGATGCTGCAGATGATGATGATGATGATGCTGATGCTGATGATGATGATGATGATGATGATGATGATGATGATGATGATGATGATGATGCTGCTGCTGATGATGATGATTATGATGATGATGCTGCTGATGATGATGATGATGATGATGATGATGATGATGATGATGATGATGATGATGATGCTGCTGAGGAGGCATGGTAGGAGGAGGAGAAGGCGAACGAGGAGGGAAGATGCGGATGCGGATGCGGAGGAGGATGAGGAGGAGGAGGAGGAGGAGGGAGGAGGGCGGAGGAGGCGGCGGAGGAGGAGGAGGAGGGAGGAGGAGGAGGAGGCGGGAGGAGGCGGAGGAGGAGGAGGAGGAGGAGAGGAGGAGGCGGAGGAGAGGAGGATGATGAGGAGGAGGAGGAGGAGGAGGAGGAGCAGGAGGTGGAGGTGGAGGAAGAGGGGGAGGATGAGGGAGGAGGAGGCGGCGGAGGAGGAGGAGAGGGGGAGGAGAGGAGGGGAGGAGGAGAGGAGGAGGAGGAGGAGGAGGAGAGGAAGGGGTACTGAGAAAGAGAGGCGAGGGAGGAGAGGAGGAGGAGGAGGAGGAGGAGGAGGAGGAGGGGGAGGAGGAGGAGGAGGAGGAGGAGGAGGGGGGGAGGAGGGGGAGGAATAGGGGGGAGGAGGAGGAGGAGGAGGTTGAGGAGGTGAGGAGGAGGGGGGGGAGGAGGAGGAGGAGGAGGAGGAAGGGAGGAGGAGGAGAGGAGGAGGAGGGAGGCGGAGGAGGAGTAGGCGGCGGGGGAGGACGAACATCAGAAACAGACGAAGCATAAGTAATATACTAGTAATGAGAGACGAATACACAAACAATACTAACCTACTCATAGTGATAAGAAGGCGCGAAGCAGGAGGAGGAGGAGAGGCGGAGGAGGAGGAGGAGGAGGAGGCCGCGGATGAGGAGGTGGAGGAGGAGGAAGAGAAGAGGATGAGGGGGGGGCGGAGGAGGAGGAATGATAATAAGGATAAGAAGACGATGATGATGATGATGATGAGGAAGAGGAGGACGGAGGAGGATGAGGCGGGGAGGAGGAGGATGATGCTGAGGAGGAGGCGGAGGAGGATGATGAGGAGGAAGAGGAGGATGAGGAGGAGGCGGAGAAGGAGAACCAGGAGGAGGAGGAGGATGAGGAGGCGGGGGGGATGATGATGATGGTGATGAAGATGATGATGCTGCTGATGATGATGCTGATGATGATGCTGCTGATGCTGCTGCTGATGATGATGCTGCTGATGCTGCTGCTGATGATGGTGATGCTGATGATGATGCTGCTTTTGCTGCTGATGCTGATTCTGATGATAATGAGGATGATGATGATGAGGATTAGGATGAGGATCATGATGATGCTGCTGATGATGCTGATTATGATGATGCTGCTGATGATGCTGCTGCTGCTGATGATGATGTTCATGCTGCTAATGATGATACTGTTGATTCTGTTGTTGTTGATGATGCTGATGATGATGATGATGATGATGATGATGCTGATGATGATGATGATGGTGGTGGTGGTGGTGGTGGTAGTGGTGGTGGTGGTGGTGATGCTGCTGCTGCTGCTGATGATGATGATGAGGAGGAGGAGGAGGAGGAGGAGGAGGAGGAGAAGGAGGTCTCTTGGGGCCCGCTTGGGGCTTCAGTGGCTTCCCGGGAGTCTCTTGGGGGCCTCCGAGGGGCTTCTTGGGAGCCTCCTGGGGCCTCTTGGGGGCCTCTTGGGGGCCCGTGGGGGCCCTTGGGGGGATCTAGTAAGCCTCTTGGCCTCCAGAGGCCGTCGTGGCCTCTCTGGGTCGTCGTAGGGCATCTTGGGGCGCTTTCGGGACGTCTTGGAGGCCTCTTGGGCCGTCTGTGGGCCGTTCTGAGGGCCTCTAGGCGTCGTCCTGGCGCTTTCTTGGCTCGTCTTGAGGCCCTCTCTGGGGCTTCTTGGGCCGTCTTGGAGACGTCTTGGAAGCCCGAAAATGCGAGAGCGCGACACGCTTTAGGCATCTTCGAGTTCTTCCAGATAGCCTCTTGAAGCACTTCTGGGGCGTCTTGGGTATTCGGCGGCGTTGCAGCCATCTAGGGTCGTCTTAAGGAAAACTTGGGTGAACTTGGAGGCCTCATAGAGCCTCTTGGACCGTCTCTGAGGCCATCTTGGAACGTCCTTGGCCAACATCTCCATGTTGTAAGGATGTCTCAGGTGGAACGATTGTTTTGGGACGATGGGATGGGGTTCACCGGGATCCTTGGATGTGGCTGGCGGGTCAAGGTGAAGGTCATTGGGAACGTTCACACAAATTGCAAAAACAGAACCGTAGAAATCGGGCAGGGCTAGAACGAGGGCAGATCCGTTCCAGAGGGTTCCAGAACGCTCTCGGAGCGTTCCGGAACGCTCTGAGGAGGCTGCGGCGCTCGAGACGTCCTCCAGAGCCTCTGGATCTCAGAGATTCTCGATTTATCCTCACCCGAATTTATCCTCGTCCTGGCTTCGTCTTAAGAAAATTCAGCGCGCCATGCGCCCCCATGGTAAGTCAACAGGGGGCGGCGGATCTAGAGGCCACCTTCGGCCTATCTCGCCACCGTGCCTGGGTTGTGGATCGATGGCCTCTGGGGATGCCTGTGGGGATCTCTGGGGAGGCCTCCCAGAAGCTTCTTGGGGCTGATTTTCGACGGGCCTCTCGGAGTCTCATGAGGACCACCTGGATCTTGATTTGGGCCTCGCGGGGGCTTCGGCTGCTGGGGGGTTCCTTAGGGGCCTGCTGGTGGTGTCGGGGTCATCGTGGAGTGGAAAAGCTCGAAATGTCGGTCTGTGCTCCTCCTCTTGGGGCTTTCTTGGGGTCCTCTTGAGCCGTCTGAGGGGGCTTCTTGGTCAGTGTTGGGGCCCTCCTGGGCCGTCAGGAGGCTCTCTTGGGGGGGCCTCCTGGGCCGTCTTGGGGCGATCGTGGGGGCCTTCAGGGCGTATCGGGGTGTCGGAAACAGGAAAGGGCGAGACTACTCGACATCAGAACAGGGGAGCGAAGAACGACATAAACCTAAAAAGTCAGAGGTCCGGGCGGATTTCTCGGATGGGCGCGGACCTCCGAGTTTTTATGTTCATGCCATTTTTCGTTGCCCTGTATCGAGCACTACAGCACTACAAGGGAATGCATGATTTCGGCCTCTTCGGGCCCTCTTGGGGGCCTCTTGGAGCCCTCTTGGGGCGTCTTGGGGGCTTCTTAAGCCATCTGCAGGCTATCTGGAGAGCGTCTTGGAGTGATCTTGGGGCGACCCGAGGCCATCTCGGAGCGTCTTGGGTGTCTCTTGGGTCCCTCTTGGCTCGTTTGGGGGCCTTCTTGCCTCTGGAAAAGTCACGCGACAACACGTGACAGCGCGCTGGAAGCCCAAAGAAATTGAATTTGGGCTCTGCCCCAGAAGGTTCAATCCTCAGGACTGAGGGCGGAGGACCCGAGGGACCTGATGACACTTGAACTCGTACCTGGCGGCACGGTGGCGGATGTCAGATACACAGAGCTCGAAGGGACCTGAGCTCACCGATGCCGACGGCACGGTGTCGGATAAGGAAGAGGGATGGAGGCAGGGCTCATTTCGACTCATCCGATTCGATTCGATTTCGATGGCTTCCAATTCCGATTCGATTCGACTAGGGATTTCGATGTGGGTTCCGATTTCTTGTTGGCGGCATACCAGCCTGCCGATTTCCGCCGATTCGGCTGTCGATCTCCGCCGACCCGATTCCTTTCGATCGCCGACCCGACTCATCGATCCGATTCTGGGCTCTCCCGTGGAGGAGGCCGAGGCGGCGAAGGAGGAGGCAGGGGGTGCTTTCCTCCTCCTCCTCCTCCTCCTTCTCCTCCTCCTCCTCCTCCTCCTCCTCCTCCTCCTCCTCCCCCTCCTCCCCCTCCTCCTCCCCCCTCCTCCTCCCCCCTCCTCCTCCTCCTCCTCCTCCTCCTCCTCCTCCTCCTCCTCCTCCTCCTCCTCCCAGTTTTCGGGCTTGCATCCATATCCCACCCAGGGGTCGGCATGCCTTTTCGGTAGGCGCTGACGTTCAGACCCCCAAGGGCTTTATCCTCCTCCTCCTCCTCCTCCTCCTCCTCCTCCCTCCTCCCTCCTCGGGCCCTGCATCCTTCCTCCTTCCCCTGTGGAGGCCAAGGGGGGCGCCCTCTGCGCACCGCCCGCCCCGACGCGAGAGCGCCCCCGAGCCCGGGGCCAGGCTGCAGGGGCCTCCGGGAGCGGGGCGCGCGCCCCGGCCGAGCGGCACGCGCCGGGCGCCCAGCCGTCGTGGGTGCCGCAGGGCTCGGGGCTGAGACGCGGGCGGAGGACGAGGACGAGGACGACGAGGACGACGGCGACGAGGACCACGACGACGACGACGACGACGAGGACCACGACGACGAGGACCACGACGACGACGACGAGGACCTTTGCGTTTCGGAGGTTTTCGGGTGTCGGAGGCAGGCCTGCCCCCCCGGCCCCCCGAGGAGGATCGACGTGCGAAGACACCCAAGGGTTGAGGAGGAGGAGGAGGAGGAGGAGGAGGCGGAGGCGGAGGCGGAGGAAGCCGAGGAGACGAATGTGGAGGATGGAGGGCTCAGGCTTCTTCCCGCCCGACAGGTTGGGCAGGTAAGTGTAAAGAGAGCGCCCCATCGCCAGCCCTGCATGCCGCTGCCGCTCCAGCCACTCCCGAGTGTTGCGGGTGTCCCACCCCGTCAGCCTGCACACCATGGCCCCAGGCCGTGCTGCAGGCGTCACGCCGTCTCGCCGTCGCGTCTCGACGTGCCAGAAGTGCACATAAGCAACATTCGGGATTACGTACAACGAGCGCACGCGCGCACCAACAGCGTACACCACCACCACGCACGCGATCGGCATGCACCAGCCATGAACAAAAACACGTATCAACAGCACAGCAAGAGCAGGCATCACTGGCAGGCATCACGAACATAACGACCACACAAGCCAATAACATGCATCGGTAACATATGCACACACACACACGCCAGGGACAGGCATCAATGACACACGCCCACTGATAGCACATATCAAGCACATGCATCAATAACATGAGCCGTACCGTTTGCACTCATCACTAAATGGCAGCACATATAATGCACCAGCAACATACACCACGTTCGGTCAGCAATAACAGTCATCAGCGTCACGCGGCAATGACGGACACCAATGCTGTACACAATCGGCACAAGTTAAACCAATCCATCCAGAACGTAGACCAATGATAATCACCCATATTGCGAGACGTTCCAGATTTGTTCTACAGTGAACACGGGATGCCAGGCACCCCAGCCAGTGTAACCGCTTCCGCAACCGTTTTGGTTCAGGCAGGGGCTTCGGCCCCTTTGAGACACCGAGACGTGGTGCTCGTGCTGGTCGGAGAATATTCCCCAATCAGAGCTTGCCTTTGTAGGGATCCTAGCGGATTCATATGGTTAGGTGGGCGTCACCGCCGATTTGGGAGGCCGTCCCTGGTGCCCCGTAGCCTTATAGCCCCAGAGCCCTATAGCCCTATAGCCTTATAGCCCTATAGCCCTATAGGCCTATATGCCTATAGCACTATAGCTTTATAGCCCTATAGCCCTAAGAGCCTGATAGCCCTATAGCCCAGTAGCCCTACAGCCCTATAGCCCTAAGAGCCTTATAGCCCTATAGCCCAGTAGCCCTATAGCCCTATAGCCCTGTAGCCCTATAGCCTTATAGCCCTATAGCCCTATAGCCCTATAGCCCTATAGCCCTATAGCCCTATAGCCCTATAGCCCTATAGCCCCATAGCCCCATAGCCTTATCGCCCTATAACCCTTTAGCCCTGTAGCCCTCTAGCCCTATAACCCAGTAGCCCTATAGCCGTATAGCCCTATAGCCTTATAGCCCTATAGCCCTATAGCCCTATAGCCCCATAGCCTTATAGCCCTATAGCCCTATAGCCCTACAGCCCTGTAGCCCTATAGCCCCTTAGCCCCATAGCCTTATAGCCCCACAGCCCCATAGGCCTATAGCCCCGTAGAAAAGTATTCATTTTGGGTTTTTTCTCCGGTATCATCTTTATCTCAGAAGCTGCCGCTCCTCCGCAAGTCTACCATAATTGGTGGTGGCTGAGCTGGCATCAGCTCCACGATGGGTGCCAGCGTGCCCCAAGAGTGTGAGTGAGCTCGCGGACGAGATAGATCAGAATTTTTTGCGGTGGACAGCACTAGGAGCATTAGTTTCGACAATAGCGGGAAGCAGACAACTGTGCGAATCCGACGGGCGCCTACAGCTAGGCGGAGAGTCGACACCATGGGTGACGAGGAGGACGATTCTGGGAAGATTTCGTGGCCCCAGCGGTGGATAGACGTGGAGGCGACAGTGGCAGGTACGTGCCACCACCCACCATCAAGGTTTCCACGATCGAGGAACTGCGGCGGTACGTGCGCCGCCTGCGGATCTGGTCCAAGGCGGCGGCGGGCATACCAGCTGAGCAACTCTGGCTGCGCGCGTACTGCAGCACCCTGGTCGGCGGCGACGACCAGATCTGGAGCATCGTGGACGGTCTCGACCCCGAGGATCTCGATGGTGCAGGCCCTGGAGGCGGAGATCTGGCTAAAGAGCGTGTGCTTGAAATACATGGAGTTCGAAAACACATTCTTCTGCAGCGAGTGCAAGAAGGGCGATATTCTGCAGTAGTACTCCATGAAGATCAAAAAGGCGTTCGGCCAGCTTCGCAAGCTGCAGGTCACGTTGGACGATGTTAAAGGCTATTCCTGTTTGCCCCAGGCGAAGCTCGACCACGTCGAGCGCATGGCGGTGATCCTCCAGACGACCCGCTCGTTGGCCTACGAGGATGCGCGGGACGCTTTGAAGGGCCTCCGGGGCGACAGTTCGCTGGAGAAGACGACCGAATCCTACCAGGGGGACAACGCTGGGTATAATCGCTCCGCCAAGGCGTTCAACGTGGACGAGCACGACTCCCTGGAGGACGAGGAGGACCCCATCGCCCAGGCACTGCGCGCGCTGGAAGGCGGCTTAGAGCAGGACGGTGCGCTCGTGGAGGAAGACGCCGCGGGCCGTCGACGAGGAGAAGGCCTACGCTGTGCTGGCGGTGTGGCAGGCCAGGCCCAGAGGTTTGGCTGCTGGCAGGAGACTCGTCGGGTGGCGCATTATCTCCAGACGTCCATGGGCCTACTGCGATGTGATGCCGCTTTGAGGCGGTGGCCGCGGCAGTGGCGACGGCGAGTGCCAGTGGAAGGCCCAGTAGAGGATTGATAAGCTGAGGCGCCGGACTGGGTGCCGCTGGTGCTAGCAGAGCGGCCACTAGACGGGAGAGTGTAAGAACCCACCGAAGAAGTGGGAGGAGCACGTCCGGGCGGTCTGCGCGGCGGAGGAGTCAGGCCCCGACAAGGATTCGGCCCGCGTGTTCGAGTCGGACGACGGCGGCTTCCTGGTGACGAAATCCACGGATGACACCGTCGATGAGCCTGTCGAGCCCGACCCCGTGGATGACCCCGCGAAAATCAAGAACCGTGAGCGCCGGCTGCGGGCGAAGGCGCGCGAGAAGGCCACCGTCGCTCCTGAGGCGGCCTCGAGCGCAGCAGCAGAGCCAGCACTCACGGGAGTCGAGATGCCCCCCCCCCGTTCCGTTTTCGAGAGTGCCTACAGCGGGCCAAGCAGCGTCTGCGACATCTTTCAGCAGCACAATTCATGGGAATTTTAGAGGGCATGGTGGTTGCGTGGTTCTCCATCGGGGGTATCACGATCGCAATGCGCGATTGTGCGATCAGGAGATTCAATGGTTTGAATATCAAATGCGTCTCGCGTTTTAGCCGGAGTATTCGCTGCGCGAGCGGCCAGTTTGCTCCGTCGAAGTGGGTTGCCGAGTGTCCAGTCGTAAAGTTTTGCGTGGTGCCAGGCTGGGCCCTGTTATTGGCTTCGGATGGTTTGCTCGAGGACCTGTCCAGGACCGTAGATACTGTGAACGGCATCCTCGCCTTGGGCTCCCTGGACGTCTCCGGGGCCCTTCGGCGCTCCCGGGATAATCCGGAGACGAACCAGTGACGTTTTCCTTTGTGATTTTTGGCGCTGGCGGCTGTCAGAGACCCTGGCGCGCCGAGATGAGGACTTCGGAGATCGCGTGCGCCTCAGAGGGCTCGATCAGCCTGGAGAGGACAGGTTGTTGCAGCGCTCGCCCCACCTCGGCCTCCTTCAGACGGGCGCCCCGAGGAACTCGGAGGGCCCGAGGCGAACGCAACCGCCCCGATCACAAGCCAAAAAAGTGCTAGTGCGCCGATTCCGAGCAGTGCGGGCTCAACAGGTTCAGGAGTTCCGACTGCGTGAAGTTCGGGCTTCACCAGTTCAGGGCCATGATTACCCCAATATCGAGCTTAACAGGTTCTTCGAGCTCGGGTGGTTCGGTGTGGGTTGCAACGTAACCCTCCTTACCTCTAAGTGGTCCCGAGAGAACCGCCTGCCGCTATTCATCCTGAAGGCTCGCTACATGAGTGAGGTGACTGAGCAGAGCGACCAAACCATCGAGCAGTGAGAGATGAAGCAACTAGCTGAGTTTCGATTGTGCCGCCTTCACCGCGCGAGTTGGCTGGCATCTAATGAGCGCAACCACCATCAGCAGTCCTCGGCACCTGCGAGTCCCTGCGTTGTGCACGTTGCGGGCCCTTCAGCTGGAGGCCGGCTTCGCGGTCGAATTCGTTGCCCTTTTCGGTCATGTCGACAGAGACCCCTGCGGGCGGGACTACATGTCCGCCTTGGCACCCTCGACGTCCAGCACTGGACCTGGAGCCGGCTTGGCACTCACAATGTGGACAAAGCCGTGGGTCTGGTCAACTTCGCTCGTCGGGAGCGGCTGGACATCTTTGGCCTGACAGATGTGGGCAGCACCGCGTCTGCCATTGAGGTGCTGGAGAGCGCGGCGAGAGGCGCGAAGCGTGCGTGGGAGGAGGTGGGCAACACCATCGTGGCCCTCGAGGAGTGCATCCTCGTGTTCGGCACCCGGGTGGCCTTCATGCTGTCGCCGGCTGCAGCCCAGATCCGGCGGGAAGGCGGGGCCCGTGTGTCCCGCGGGCACGGCGACCGGCTACTCCACCTTCGATGGGACCTTGCCGGCCAGAACTTCGACTTTGTCGTGGGTTGCGCCCCCGCTGGCCACGGGCGCTCGCGCGCCGAGTTCTTCGAGCAGGCCGACTCCCTCCGGGCGCAGTTGCGGGCCCGCGCGGTGCACATTTGGATGGGGGACTGGAACTCGCACGTCGGTAAGGGGT